TCACAAAGTTTAAGCTTTGGGGTCCAAGTCGTTTGGGCGAGTGAGCATTTGTTTGGTTTTGGGTGGTTTGGAGTTTACGTTTTTGGATGCTGTTGTCTGCGGGCACGATTTCTGCAGTTGAGGGTTTAGAGAGGTTTTTGGCAAAGGCATGTGATGGATTTTTCCTCTCTTTGCGTGTAGAACTGGGGCCGCATCGTACTCCTGGCATGGTTACGGCATACTTTTCATGTACATCCATAATTGGTTCGCTCTTCCAAGGACTGGATCATTAGAGACGATTACAACTCTCCGAAGATCCAATGTTATGCCCTGATTTCTCCTTTCTGGTCTGTCGTGTTTGGACGGCGGGGTGCTAGGGGGCCAGCTTTGGAAGACAGATGAGCTATAGCCAAAATGCCTTAAAGGGGGTTATATAAGGGAGTATTATAGGCTCTACTGAGGGGGACACGAGGAGTTTGGACTACAGCTCAGATGGAGTCAGGGACAACAAAGATTAGATTGGGCTTCTCAATTTCTGTAGGCTCCCCCACTCCTTGCCTCCTTTCATGCCGGATGTCAACTAGGGAACTCCAAGAAAGAAAGCTCCGTGCAACAGTTGTAGAGCTTCGTCGGTTTTCAGCTGTTCTGATTTGAAGGATGGCTAGTTTTCCATTGAAAAGGGTAGTTTGGCTCTTCCACCAGGGTACCAGTCATGATCCAGCACCGGAGTTGCGTAGAAAGCCTAAACTTGCAGCAGCTGCAAGTCCCAAGAACTTCAACATTTCCCGCGCCAATTCTCCTTTTGCTTCAGACAGGACTGCGCAAGGAATTTCTCTAACTCCTTACATTACACCTGAACATGCTGCCTTGGCTCTTAAAAGAACACCTCACACAAATTTGTGGCATGAGAACCGCTGTTCCTACCATGATTGCAAAGCCCTTGAAGCACACCCAACACCAGCTGCAAAGGCACCGGTGGTGGTGGCAGCCTTGCCGGCACTCACACGTGGTCCAAGCCACAGGGTGACAAGCAGCACGAGAACTTTAGGCCGTCCTGGCAGCTTTCGGGCTTCGGGCATTCGTGTGTCAACTGCTTTGGGTCTAGTCTCTCATGGTCAGTGTTGCATTCTGCAAGCTGCTGTTCTGCTCGAAAGGGGCAGGCAACATGTCCAAAAGGATGTTCACAACATGTCAGCAGAGTAGCTGGCAGTGTGGTGAAACAATAAAAGTTGTCTTTGGGAGTATGCTGCATTGCTTTTTCCCAAGCACGACGCGCGCATCTTGCCCTGACAGATATAACAACGTCCGCTTCTTGCAAGAGCAGAACAAGGAGGCGGGGAAGAGGAGACTCCCATGTTGTGTTCACTATGACCATTGCCATGATCGCAAATTTGAGAAGTGTACATGGTTGAGGGCATGAGTGACTTCAGAATATTTGTCCTCTCCTATTGCAGGTATCATAGGTCTGAGACGACCAGGAAGAATTTCCTTACTGTAAATGTGCATGAGCTTGACAGCAGTATATCTAGTTTGGATCGCAACAGTTGTTGAACGCAACAGCTGCTGCTAAGCATGCAACTCCCTGATATGATTTTTAACCTATGAAAGGGGCCTACTGCAGTATATACCCTATTAGAATCTAGTAGTTTCCATGTTCTATTCCATTATCCCTATATAACCCCAATAATGTTAGAACAAATTCTTTTGGAATGGGAGCTTCTCACAATTCATTTCTATATCCCTGATCAGAAACTCCTTATATTCTCCATATACCCCCTGTGAGAAAGCCTGGACTGTAGTCCATTCCCCTAATAACACCAAACCGCTATGCCCCTTTTGATACTGTTCTCCAACATATACAAGAAAGAGCCATACAGGGCCCTGAACCTTCAAAGGGTATGGTCCCCTCCCCCTTAGATAGATAGAATCTGGCTTAGGGTATATTATGTTACGATCCCCATGTACGCTGTATTCGATCTACTTAAGGGAGACTATACCTACAAGTCTGTTCGAAAGAGGGCTACCTTGGGTCCAATGTGCGGCTTCATGTTGGCATGCAGAAGTACACCCCAGAGCATCACCACCCTACAAATTTGGGAGATGTTCAAGATGATCTCTGGAAACCCCTGGGCGGACCATTCACATGACTCTCACAAGCCCTTGTACCCCCTCTGTAGTCCCAGGAATTTTGGGGGACCCCCCTTTGGAGAAACTCCCATCTTCCTGCTTCAGGTGACCAAAGCGCTCGACCGAGTGGAGGAGGACTTCTGGAAAGTTGAAATGAAGCAATCCCCTTCGCTGGCACACCCCGCTAATCATGAATGTTCATGTTAATATATAGTGATTTGTGGGGGTCATTATCAGGGTTGTGGAGAGGATGTTAGAAGGACGGGATTACGATTGGTGAGCAGAATCCTGCATGACTCTATGTATAGTGCGTTATCATAATTTCCAGTGCTTCGGTTCATAAGGACCTTGTGAAGACTTCCAGAAAGTGGGGTTACCTTTTTGGGAGTCCCTAGAATCAGGACTTCAAAGTGTTCTTAGGTACGTCCACAAGTTGTGGGCCCATTTTGGATATCATAGACATTAAGGGCCATATCATACAGAAGACACAAAGGAGGACCAAAATTTGAACAGTTAATTTGCCCGCATGAAACAGGGTTCCACCGGGGGTGTTTGGTGAGTGCATCTAGGGTTGGTAGTTGTATGTTTTGGGCGTCCATTGAGTAGCAACTAACACCCCGTGATCCTCTCAAAGGGCCCATAATATTTCCCCCAGGGGATGACTAGCAGGGTGGAGGTAGGGAAGAAGCATTGGGAAAGATGAGTGCTTCTTTCTTGTAAGTGTTTCTATGACGGTGTGTGGAGGCGGGGTCAGACCTCGTACGATCTCAGTCTATGTCACGGATGCACTTGCAGTGTCAGGGAAGTTCCTTGTCCATCACATCGCTGAATTGCAGAAAAGCATCGTGCATGATAAGGCAATGTTGGGAATAAGTTCTGCGTGTCAAGAAATGCCATTGTCCAAATTCACACGTAGTCTTTCCTAAAGCGGACTAGAGGATGCAGCTAGCACAATTTGGAGGACGCAAAAATTGTAGCAGCTTCTGCAATGTCAGGAGCGCGATGAAGCCTTCGCTGCCATCGCCCAGTGGGAGGCAAGGGCTGCGAGATTTTTGGAGGTTTATGGCTCAGGGTTTCCGGGAACGTACATGACGCCCCATATAGCTGCCCTTCCAGTGGACAGGTTTCTTCATCTGGCCACATTGGGGTTCCAAAAACACTTGGGGGACTGGGCTTAGGGATTTCAGTAGATTAAAAGGACTTTGAAATCAAACTGGTCTGAACTCGATGATAGCGGGAACTCACTTCAGGTGTGGCTGATTTGGGCAGGCAGTCCTCACATGAGGACTTGAATTGATTCTGCAGTTGCCCGACTTCAGATGTGCACGAGGACCGCGAACTTTGCCTAGCTTCTTCATAATTCTATCACCATCCTAGTTGTTGAGTAATGACGAAAAAGGGCGCGTTCAAAGAACAGCAGAGTATGGAACTAGTTTCATGGGGTTGTAGGGACCACCGAGATAAGAGTGGGACTCTGTTCACATTGTCCAAGCGTAGAATCTGCTTAATTTCCCGCATGAAGAGGTAGTCCTTGTTCAGAAAATTATACAACGGACCTCAGCCTTGTGAAAAAACCCGAACGAAGTTGTTGGTTCTAAGAATCACTATCAAGCATCCCTCTCAAGAGACTTCCAGGGGCACGACCAAATCCTCAAACTCCAAGCCTGGAAGCTAAAGTCCGCTGTCCCTAAAGCCAACGGGCCCAAACCAACACCACAAAATCCAAAAACCTGAACCCTGAAATCCCTGAGGTCCTTTAAAGCTACCTAAACCCATGCTAGGAGAAGCGGCAGCACATCCAGCAAGAATACCAGAAGCGTCAGCAAGAGCTGGCAGACACGGAGGCCTGGTTGGGGTTGGGCTTGTCTGGAAGTTTCTCAAAATAGGGGGCTCTTAGGGACCCCTAGATTGGGTACTGCCCCCCCCCAGTAACAGTCTATATTAGGGGTCCTATTAAGGGCTATATATAACCATATCATAATTATTACCCAACTGTTACTGAGGGGGGGCAGTACCCAACCCCTAGGGATATATGGGGACTTGAGGGCATTCTGGAGATCCTCGTTCGGGATTCTATAGGGGATTGTTTTAGCAAATACCCATCTAAGATCCTAACCATGGGTTACCAGCATGGACCCCTGCCTGGTTTCTGGGTCCTAGCGTGAGTTATGGGCCTTTAGAGGTGTGTGTAGAGCCTCAGGGGGTATACAGGGTTCCAGATCAAGGGCCCAGAACTACAGACCCATGGTTACAGAGACTTTAATGGGAACCCCAAAACCGGGAACCCCAAGAATGTAGTGGGAATATAATAGGGATATACGGACCCTGGTAGGTGTGTTCCTATCATAAGCCTTCTATGTTCTTTGGTTCCTTGTTTTGGGCTTCCCATTATTAAAGCCCTTTTCTTGGTTCCAACCTCAGGGTTCTGGGTTCAGCGGTCCTGCAAAGCTGCAACAAGGATCCTTTGATTTCCCAAACAGGATTCTCCACACCGTCTTCAAGAGTTCTGCGCTTTGCATATCTACACGACTCTGTGAACATAGACTTGTGAGCTTGTATAGATACCTATGCTAGCTATGAAGCGAGAGTTACTCCGTCCAGGTTATGGGCTCATGTGAGTGGCGTGAAGCTTCCGCTTCATGCATTGAGATTGTTCAGCTACAGGCTTTAGTGCTGTTGCGAGCTATGGCCCAAGACCACTTCTCCTAGATCCTCAGACCCAAGCATCTACAACATCAATCCTTCTTCATGTTCGGTCTTTGGCAGAAAATGCAGTCAAGTAAAACAGGCCTTCTATTTAGAGCGGCTAGTTGTATGTTTTGTAAGTGATACATCTCAACTCTAAATCAGGGAACATCTTGGTAGACAAAAACGCGCAGCCCACTTCCAAACAGGAGAAGTGCAACATCTCCGCTGCAGAGATCCACAAGCTGCTAGTCTGCAATTCAAGTAGATCTAGGGGTACCGAACCAGAGGAGACCACAGGACCTTCTGGCTGCCCTGCTCCTTTAACAGCACGAGAACTTTCAAGTGGGCATACTTTCAAAAGATCCAGCATCTTTTGTCTCCTTGCTGGCACTTGACACAACCCAAGAAAGCCTGGCTCTATGCCACAAAGTCTTACTTCCCAGCGCTTCCCAGGACCCTTGCCAGTATTCGAGTACGACGTGCTTAGGAGTTCGGTTTTCGGGGATCAGGCTTCAGCAGCTAGAGTGTCCAGACTCGCATTTCGGGATGAGGGCTTATGGCTGATAAAAAACTCAGGTTCAGCCCTGAAATCGTATTGGTGAGCTTATACAGGTTTGTTAGAGTTCATTAGAGACGGTCCTGCTATCATTATCATTGCTGCTTTGCTATTGCTATGATTAGTACTGGTACTTTGATCATCTCTACCATTACCATTAACCCTAAACCCTAGACAAATGAAGAGAATTGTTGCCGCAAAAACCTGAGGCGCGACGAGCAGATCCGAGTCCTCTCCGAGCAGAATCGCTCCCTCCTGGACTCCAATGGTTTACATCCTAGTCACTGGGTAGGCCCTTGGAGTATTTAGTATTTTCCCTATTGGTTTTGATAAGGGACCCTATATACTGACATTTTTGAAAAGGCTTTAGGGGCCAACCCAGGTAAGAGTTTGCGGTCTAGAGGTTGATGATGAGGTGACCTTCCCCATTGATTCCTGAACCCTTCGATTTAGGAATACTCTTCCGGCGGTAATATGAAAACCTAGATTCCCAGGCTCAAGTATGATTTTGCCTACATGTTCGACAATTTTCCATACATGTGGCAGATTGAAGTCCTGACCAATTTTCTCCGCGGTTGAGCAAGTCTTGGTGAAACCCAACTGCGTGCAAATGGTAGAAACGATAAAGAATAATCCCGCATGCATAATTGTACCATATGTATTAAAGACAGCACCCCTGAGCGTTCTTTGGAAATGTTGTAAAGCACGGCCGTTCATGCTTGATAGCCGCACAGAAGGTGTTATACATCCCATGCCTTTGTTTTTATGCGTCGCATCCCTAGGGAGTTTGGCGGGAAGGGCCTGGGCTTGTCAAAACTTGATTCCTTGCCTCATAATTATTACCCTCTAATGGTACAATTATGATTCTTGGATTATGCATTATCATTTCTAGTGTCAATATCCTGGACTGAGACCAAAACTCTGGTAGTGCCAGGATATGTTGGAGGAGGAAGAGCGGACAGTGAAGGAGCGGCAGACCCAGGCATGGGACTGTGTTCATGAGAGGGTTTGCAGATTCAGGGGGGCTCTACATGGGCAGTGGAGGGACTGACGCGGGATTCGCAAGTATTCATACCGGGAACATTGAGATTCACGACGTTTCGGTCGAGTCCTAACAATTATGACTTTGGAGCTGTCACATTACAAGGGGATCCTTTTCTTCGACGGTCAACCAAAAGCGATCTCTGCATGTAAGCAGCGCGCCCTGAATCATGGGAATTTGTTCGGCAAGTCTCTCAGCTGGGTTGTCAGTCGTGCTCAGGGGCTGCCGGGATTTCTACAACCTGGGCTTTGTTGTCATCTGGGCGGAAATTGACTCATGCAATCCTTACTCTTCACTGTGTGGTCTCTTTAGCAGTCATTTTCAACTTTTATGATGGTATAGGTTCCAGGAATTATTGAACATGTTATTTGTATAATAGGTCAAAGGAGACTACAGTTCAGACGCCCCTACAACTTATGATCTCCCATACTGTTCCGGGCGCGCAGTTAAGAAAAATTCGAGTTTCCCTGAAAAGAAGTATACTCCTTGCTATGGGGACCCCAAAAAGTACCCCCAACTTTGGGAGACCCTGAAACCTAAACCCTAAACCTTATATGAGTCCTATATTCCTGGCCGACTCCCCCAATTTTCTGGGTTGCTGTTAAGGAACTTAAATTAAGTTACTATATTGGGGAAAACCTATTATTTACAATATATACCCACTATGGTAACTTAAATTAAGTTCCTTAACCCAATTTATGGGAAACCCCCATATGCGGCAATCGCCAGGCCCAGGAGCTCATGGTCACGCAGGCGCAGTCTGCTACAAGCAAGCTGGGTGTTTGTCGAAGTTCAACATCACCCTACATATTTTCAAAATGAGTTCAACATCACAGGGATTTCACAGTGGACCCATAAGTTCAAGGTCATCAAAGCCAATATGGTTTCAGAAGGTCATGGGAGGAAGTGAGACGCTTGGTGTTTTCGCAGGTTCCATTTCTTTCTTAGGAGGCAGGAGTTGAGGACTGGCGTTTCCGGTGTTATGCTGCCAAGTTCCGTGCTTTACCGTGCGCCCCACCCGGCCCATCCTTCTGAAAGTAGCTCAGAAGCCTACACGAGCAGCGACCTGATGTGCAGGACTCGGGACTTGATGGGGTTTTCATATTTGCTTGGGGAAAGTAAAAAGAACAGAGTTCCTTTTCCGGGTCCTTAGATGGAACCAAGGACTGCATAATTTAAGGGTGTATGTAGAACCCGTTTGTCAATTCTCCTGGGTCACTAGCTTTGAGAAAGACCCATCCAACATCAACGAAGGCCTTATTGTCATTATGGGTATAGCTTCTGTTTGCACATGCAGTCTTGGGAGCCATTCTTAAGAAGGACTCCCAAAATCACTCCATCATCCCTGCACATCCCTAGTATCTCAAGAATTCCATTGTTTTCATCATGAGAACACTCAATCTCTTGCATTGTGGGAAATGCAGATGCGTTAATTATCAAAAACCAAACCATGGATGGTCGAAGTCGAGGTTACCAGAAAAATGTTTTCTCAGAAGAGAACTCCCCCCCGAGCGCTCATCCTACCCGTCGCCAGCCCCTTGCATTTCAAAAGCAAGCAGCCTAGAGAGCTGAGGGAAACCCATGCGAAGCACTTCATTCTGGTAGCCCTGAACCAGGATCGTTTGCAGAAGATCTCCGACGAGTACAACCTTGTCAAAGCGACAGGCGCTGCGACTGCAAGGAGTGTCACTCGCAATCTCGCAATCATCATGCTGAATTGTGGAATTGTCCTCATCATTGCCCGGTATGAGCGGTATTCTTTGCAGCGCTAGTAGCAGAAGAGGAGGCAATCATGTTTAAAGTGAATCCACATGCTGCTATTCAGATTCCCCGCGTCAGCTCCCTCATGCTAACAGGGTACCTCCCCAAAAGTGCAATCTACCCACACTTGCGATAACAGAAAGAATGAATGAATTCTGTTTTGCAACCGGTCCCTTTCAGTAGTCCAAAGCGTGCATCCTAATCAGGACCAGGACCCAAATCCCAGATACAAAAAACTGAAGACGAGTTAGCCTCAAGATTCCGAGATCTTCAACCTCAAGGGCCAACTATTATGACTTCAACCTTTTTCAGCCTTAGCCTGCACCTCACCGTTTACACCCCTCCTTGCTTCTCCGCAATCTGAGGCCAGCAACAGCTTCTCGGAGCCTACAACGAGATTGCCAAGTTCGAAGAGGCAGGCTGATACAACTGATTTTTTCTTAAGGTAGCAGTTCCTTTTTCAGGACCCCTCCCAACTACCCCTAAGCCCGTGCCTGTCGTTCAAGACACAGCCAAACCAGCAGCAATCCGTAGCCGTGAGTTTGGACTCTTGGTGAGGTGACCGCCGCATGTGTAGAGCCATCTTAGAGTGATTTTCACAGGAATCAAGCTTCTCGGCACCGCAGCATGTGTAGAGCCATCTTAGAGTGATTTTCACAGGAATCAAGCTTCTCGGCTCTGGTGAGCCGGACATGAAAGAATGGATTTCCGCCAGAGTCCTGCATGATGCCTATAGTGAGGTTCCCAGTCATCCCAACAAGAAATTCTTTTCCCAGCCATTCGGAAAGACAGGAGCTGCGCAACGCGCAGTCCGAGACAGGGCAGCTCAAGGAGGCCAGTCCTGGATCTCATACTTGGTCTATGTCCATGTAGGCTTCCATAGACGCATATACATACGTACATACATACATGCATGCATACATACATGCATACATACATACCATACAGACCATTTTGTCCATCCATCCATCCATCCATCCATCCATCCATCCATACATACGGCTTCGGATTGAAGATGTATCCGAAAGAACAAGCATAAGGCTCGCAGGGTGTGTCTGTCAAGATGATGTAGGGAGGTGAGAGAATAAAGGTATAATAATGCGAGTTATTCAGGCTCCCAGGGTAAGGGGAGTTCAGGTGCGCAGCCACATAGCCCTTCCAGCATACGTAGAGCACTGCGTACGTAATGTATCTGGTCCCTTGGGGTCTTTCAACTTGTAGGTTCCAGCTTTCAGGCAAGAATCAGGGGTCAAGGTTGAATCTTTAAGTCCAGGGCTTGGCAATTTGAAATGAAGTCATAGGGTTTGCGGCTATGGGTTGAAGATTTTGGTGACCACCCTCCGACAACATGATCGTAATATCTTCATTCACAAAGCTTAACATGCAGAACAAGCACTTTTCCACCCAACTGGTTCGCAGTCTCAAAGTCCACGCCCTCAACCTGGCTCTGCAAGACCATTTTCTCAGAACCTGCGCTGTGTCCCATCAGGCGGAGCGGAATTTTAGCGCGCAGGCGAAAGCCGACATCGAGGCCCGGAAGATGCATTTGACTCAGATAATAACCCCATAGCCCTAACACAATAAACACGCTGAAGTTTACTTGCGCTACAATGATTCCTCCCCTATACTACGAAGGCTAAGTTGTGTACGGTCACGATGATAAGCAGCAGTGTTATGTTTGCAGTTGGTTAGCAGGGCTTTCAACTTTCGGCTTCATAGTATGATCCTGGGATTTTGCAAAGCAAGCTAGGTTACGAGGAGTTCAGGTATACATCCTGGCGGGACCCTCTTCAGGTGGACAGCATGTGGCTCCAATCACAAGCCCTTCAATTTTCAGTACGAAGACCTTAGAAGAACAGCTGGTCTTACTCTTGATCGGTTGGGACTGGGAGGGTACTGGGAGGGTGCATCACTCGAATTTGACTTTCTGATCCGCGGGGCCCAAACCCTAAACCCCAAATCCTAAATCCCCACATATCCTAGATGCCCCTATATAACCCTTTCAAAGGGCGCCTCAACCCAAAACCTTCCTGGGTTGCTGTTAAGGAACTTAAATTAAGTTACCATAATGGGTATATATAGTACTTAATCTGGTTCGCCCAATATAGTAACTTAAATTAAGTTCCTTAACAGCAACCCAATCTTTTCTAGGCTTTGGAATCCAAGCTCAAGGAGTCCAAGGACCTGTGCCTTGACAGGATATGGCTGAAAAAAGGGGGTTTAGGGGTTAGGGTTTAGGGTTTAGGGTATGTATGGGACAATGGAAAGTAAAATGGAAACTACTATATAGTATCTGGGGGTTATATTGCGGTTATATATTGGGATAATGGCAAAATAAGATGGAAACTACTTGATTATCAGCACTCTTACTATAAGTATTGTGACTGATGATTATTGCTAGTACTATTGGCTGTTGTCAAAAATGAATGTTAATATTGTTGTTGTTGGTATTGTTACTGAGTAGTATTTGCGAGTACTGGTGTTATTTTTATGAATAATAATATACGATGGCTGTCATGAATACTATGATTCGTGTTGTTACTGTTTATTCCTACTGTTATTGTTGTTATAGCTACGCTTTTTTTATAATTGGAAGAAGTAGTGTCCTTTAATTGCGGAGGGGGGTGGTTTTGGTGATGATGGTTCATTTTTTAGAATAGCCACACTTTAGGGTGGTGAAGAAATCTCGTGATATTTAATCTTTTTTATGAATTTCATTGCTCTGGGAGTGCTAAGTGGTGCAAGGTTTCCTCCATGCAGCATAATGAGCGTAGGTAAAGCTGCTGCATGGCGAGTGCTGCTTACAGTACTGTAGTGCGGCACTCACCGTGTGGTTGTTCAGGGGTTACATTGGGGTTAGATAAGGGTTATTGAGGGATAATGGAAAAGAAAATGGACACTACTATATAGTATATTGGGCTTTGAGGTTGACTAGAAGCCAGCAGTCCTCAGCATTTGAGTTGTAAGAACCTAGCCGTGAAAGGTGGGACTTGTGCTAGGAAATAGACTAGGTGGGCCTGAAAATCAGCACGGCTCCAAGGAATGTCCAGTACCTTCAGCAGATCCAGCACAACGAGGCAAGGACATCCTTTTGCACAGCTGCAGGCCACACTGAGCCAGACAGATGCATGTGTCTTTCCCAGACCCATGGGAAGATCTAGAAAGTAGGTCCCCAAAAAGGGTTCCAAGAAATTACCCAATAGTAGTATAGGGTACCAACCATAATGGGGGGCTCTACTTTCTAGATCCTCCGGGGGTTTGGGTTGGCTTTCTGCACATGCTTGCAAAAATATCTACGCTTGCTACAACTTGGGGAACTTCTCTGGAACTTCAGACTCTTTCAATTGCTGCATGGTATCGTCAGGTCTATGAGCATCGCCTGGCAGAGGCGGGGTGCCAGGGATCTGTGGTTTCCAAGGCTATTTCTCTAAATGAGCCGTGTATAACATCTAACTTCCATCATCCTCATCTGCTTATGACCCTCAAAGGCCCCCAGCATATCCACTCCGCATCTCTGAGAACCGTCACTTGTGTACAGGACCAAGCGCTGAAAGCTTTGTCAAAGCATAAGCTGAGAAATACATCAGAAGACATCCATGCGCATCTTTATGGGTCGGGTCGGCAAGGGCACAGCGTCTCCGCTCAAGGCGATCAACAGACTTCGCGAGACACTGGACGAGCTAACGGTCCAGAAGAAAGGCATTAAGCCCGAGCCTCAGGTATGTGGCCGTCATATGCTTCGGGAAGACAGGCGGCTAGCATTCGTCCAGAAATATCCAGTCTGTGAAAAACCATCAGTTTCAGCTGAGGATGCAGTTAGACATGGACTCGGACAACCGGGACAAGTGGATGCCATGGCCTGAACTGCTTTTCCTGGGTCTGCGTGCGCAATTTGCTTTTCCATCGTCTAGCTTCTAGTCTGCTGCAGCGAGCCACTTCGATGTACTCCAGCAAGAAGCCCTCATGAGGAGCTTTGCCTTGCATAAGTTGTCCCAGTACAGTAGAAAGGCTTCACATACATGCGGTTGTCTTGCAGAGCAGTTCCGGGATAGACCTTTCAATACTAGATGCAAGTAGCCAGCAGCAGGTCGGCGCAGAATGTGTAATGAGCAGTGGCCGCCTACAAAGTACAAGATGTGGTCTTGTTAATTCTCGAGTACACCTGTTACAATATCATTCATAATTTTGTGCCTGTGTTCAGCCTTTGCAGGTGACATTTGTGAATCCCTGTGCCCAAGGCAGAGTAAAGCCGAAGTGGAGAGGCGGAAGGACCCTGCTAATGCCCTGTGACTTCCACGGATAGCTTCTCAAACTTCTGGTGTTTGGATGAATTCAAATTGCAAGGTACAGGGGGGAGACCTAATTTCGAAAATGAACCGGGAGGGAAATCCGACTCTTTGATGTCAGAAGAATCTAAGGCACCAGCAGAGTGTAAAGTGCAGGATTGGAATGTGGGTTCCTAAGAATTGCGAGGCGCCTCCATAAGACCAGCAATTACGACGGCTTGTATAGGATGCGTGGACCCCTTGCATACCCCTGGGGATGTCAAGAGGTATTTTGGGGTCCCTCTTGCTATTTATACGAATGTGCTTGCTTTTGGAGAATCTCGGTATCGGCTGGCTGCTCAAATTACTAGTAGAGAGAACAATAGTAGTAGTAATAATAGCAATCATATTAAATAGTACTAGCAATAATAACAGTAATAATCATGAGAGTAATACTTCTGAAGGACGGCCTCGAGAAGATGGCAGACGCTCTGCGCCAGTCCCTGAGGGATGCCGAGGAGCAGAACACCAAGATGCAGGCGCAAGGGATCCCAGGTGTATGCTTAGGGCGGTCTAAGTTTTGGACTTTAGGAACAAAGTGCTAGGCGGTAGCAGCGCTTATGACAATTGAGGTGGTTTTGGAGTGCTGAGAACTGAACTACTTCAGCTGCAGTCTGGCAGGTGAAGATTCGCCATGGGTTAGTGGCTGGGAAAATCCTCCCTTCGTTTCTCTCCAGGGGGATATATCAGGCGGAGTGGATGTTTTAGTGGCAACGGCCTTCGATCAGGTTTTGTTGGATAGGGCGGTCATGATACCTCCGTCGCAGCAGATTAGTTCTTGAAATGACAGCAACTTTCGTCTTAACTTGCATTAACATGCTTGTTACTTGGAACCTGCGCATGAAGAAGCATTGCCCGGGTCAGGAAGAGAACAAAGCAGGCGCCGACAACTTCAGGCACGAGTGCAGTGAGCAAAATGGTGTCGATGATGTTTTCTGTTGCAGCTGCAACCAATGTGACACCTTTTGCACTCAGCGTGAGAGTTCCTGCCAGTCGTGCTTTTAGGACCACGTTTGATGTTATATAAGTGTCAGCAGTAGCATCACCAGCATCCTCACCAGCATTCTTCAGCGGAAGATGCAGCCGGCATGTCCCAGAACTTTCGATGACATCATAGAATCTACCTTATGGGGGGGCGGTACTCGCAGACTCATCCTTATCTCCGCACTGGGATTTCATGTTTTCAAACGACGATCAACCAGGCAGCTGGGCGATAAGGTCTACGCTTTGATGGACCAGCTGAGACAGCACCAGGCACCTGGGGAGAAACCCCTACTTAGTAGGGGATCTAGGGCAAGTTGCAAGCATGTTTGGGGACCGCCGCGGAAAGGTGAAAACGTGGTTAGTTGTGCAATGAGGATCGGTTTAGGGCTCGAGATGTGAGGCATTAGTGCTGTTTCAAGGCATCATGCAAAAGGAAGCTCTGGACCGAATCCTTGCCCATGAGTTCGTCGAACAGCAGTTTTGTTGCCTTCCATTGCTGCACGAGCCGTTCCAGCGATCCAGGTCTCAAGCCTGCTTGCACGAAACCTTGTCTTTCTTGCCATCGTGTAGCACAGGAGCAGTTCTAAAGAAAGCCTGTCAGCGCACCCTGCTGTAGGGCCCAGCTAGTTTCCATGCACTGTCTCGCTGCAGTTTTGACATGGGAAAGCCAGCACATTGTCTGGGACTTTGCTGGGAATCCGTTGTGGGCGCGTTCTGATTTTCACAGAGTTCGAAGGAGATTAAGATGGACGCTATTTGGTCATGAGTTTTTGTCAAAGCTGCAGACAGTCTGTCAGTCTGGTAACCTTTTACAATGCGACACTTAGGGTTTTCAGTACCAGAACGGGACCCTACCGTTGAAAGCCACCCACTTGATAGAGTCTGCCCTGCTGTGAAGACCGACCTCAAGAAGACAGAGGCTGCTGGTGTCGAGAAGCCAGCAAGCTCAGATTCGTTGCGCAATGTATAAGTCGAAACAACTAATAGAATTGTTCCATGGTATAGCATGCAAATGCCATGCAAGAAGCTTTTCCAGCCGTTCCCGGCCCTTGGAGTATTTCGAACTTGGGGATGATAATACATTGCATAGCTGTCGGCAGGCATAGCAGGCTGTGATTGCAGATGATTTTCATTTACGCTGACTGATGTTGAAGTTTCCAGCAGCATTTCACCATTAGTGGGGGTTAGAATGTAAAAAGGGAACATCTAATCTAATGTGGGGGTTGTATAGGGATGATAGTCTTTTATTCCCAACTAACCACCAGTAAGCCATTGAAGGCCGTCCCGCTTGCATGCATGTCATCAGAATCGTGTATTGATTCCATCGCATGTTTGGTTTGCTTCAACGATGCCATGCTAGTGACTATATATATACAGTACATATACATGTAAAACCTAAGCTGCAGCTGAAGGATTATACAGAAATTCAAAGTCCCTCTTTGTCCGATCAAGAGGCCTTGACTAGTCAGGAAGATCATACAGTGGTTACCCTCAGATGGTTACAGTATGGAGTACTACAAGCTCCCTCCCGTCCTTCAAAGCACCGGTGGCATTGATTGCTGACCGTGTGGAAAATGCAATGCCTTCATGTGTCCTGGGAGTAGAATCCTTTTCAGAGAAAACCGACTCCTTGACGTCAGCAACCACGTGCTCAGGCAGAAAAAGATCGGCTCTTTTGAAAAGCAATCGCAGGACAGTCCGCTCATCTCTGGGTTTCTTGGTCCCAGAAGATGGCTTTAGATAGTGGGAAGGTGAGAAAGGGCCAATATGCCCTGAAACAATCGGTTAGCCGTGGGCTCAGAACTTTCGTCCTTGTGAGGGGATCCGGTGCACCAGCTCCAGTCACACTCAAATCGTGTTGGATCAGTTCTAGAATCGTGGTTTCCCATACCTCTCCGAGACGACATGGCTTTCAAGCAAGGGTGTTAAGCAGGAGGTCATGCCTTCTGCCTGTCAAGGTATGTTGAAACTTGACACAGTCTGGAACCTTTTCAGGTGCTGTCTTCGTACATTGAATAAACCTTGCGGAGGTAGTGAGAACCTCGTTTTCCCAAGGATCCTCTTGTTTCCGAGAACTTCTTGGTTGTTTTAGCGTGAGTGCAGGCAAGCAAAGGCCCAAATGATTCGAAACGAGGCCTATGAGAGATTTCATAAGACCACAATGCCAAAGGCCAAAGGAGTTCACTGCATTTCAGGTTGACACTTCTCGTTTTCCGTCACAGAGGTCTGCCTGTAGCCATTCTCATGTCAACCTTTTGCAAGCGTATTCACCTGGAAATTTCCACGACTGAAAGATACCGTCTTCTTGCCACAACTCCTCTGCCGCCAGAACCTTCAGCAGCAGCTCCAGATGGAGGCCTTGCCCTTCAACTTACTGGTAGTTCGTGGGGTAAAAGGGAATATGATCCCCATTATAGATTTATATACATGTGTATATGTATACATATGTATATGTATATATGCACACATTTTTTGAGGGGAGCATGCGTAGATAACTCTATTCCCTCATTCCCTACTAACTCCCAGAAAGTCAAGCTGCCTTGCGGATCATGGAAGGCTTTTGTAGGCACTATCGGGGAGGCCTCAGCGAGAGTAGAGGGTAGACAGACCTTGGGTGATCACAAGAAAAGGACGATAAAGACAACGGGCTTCCCTGAAATTACTCGAGCACAGGATCTGGTCGCATGATCTCGGTGCCCTTTTTTAAGGCGCAGTGAGGCAAATTCCTTGATTCTTCTTCTTTTCGCGTGACACCCCGAAGAACGTAGCAGTTTGCTTGGAGGCTTGGTGGAGACGGTAAGTGAAATACTAATCTGGGTTGCTTTGCAAGTGCTACTGAGGGTACTGAGCTTCAACTGGATTGTACTGGGACTGCGCTTTCTGTGCAGGAGGTCTCATGGAATTATCAATTACAGGATAGGGGTTCCTTACCTGCATACTCGGATCCTCACAGGCGTTCACGCGAAGGCGACATATTGGAGAGACAGCAAAAGGGGTTTAAGCCACACTTGCTTTCAGGTCGACGCCAAGCTGGCGGCAGAGGCTGAAGCCCGCAACGCGGCGCAGATGCAGGCGCCAGGGGAATCTCACATCCAATTCTGAAGCCGCCTGCAGGCATGAGAGTTCAGATAGGTTGTTGCCAAGCGGCATGGAGGCTTCTGAAACATGGAGGCATTTATTGTTCATGATCTTCTTTGGGAATGCTGAAGCGCCGCGGAGGGCATCCCTCCCTAACCATGGGCACGAACATAGAGCTGCTTCCTGACGTTCCAGTCAATGTTTCGTTCAAGCCACAGAGCCGTAAATGCCAGACAACAGGCGTGTTGCATGGGTCAGTTGCTTCAAAGTTTTGCTATCTCCGTAGAGGCTTCTTACCATCTACTTTGAGTGACCCGTACGAGAGAAAGTTACAAGAGGCAGGAGCATACTTGATCTAGAAATTAGGCTGGTAGTCGAATTCATTCAGCTGGAAAGAAAAGGAGGAGGAGCGGTGGAGATTCTGGCAATCTTCATGATCGCAGAAGTGGCAGTACTCGCCACCAGAGCGGTAGATTTGTTCACGGAAAACTGCAATACTCTTCTTACCTACGCTGCCGTTTTCTGCTTGGCAAACCAGAAGAGACACTGTCATCCAGGGCCTTTATCATTATCACTATGACCATCGTTGCTTTACAAAGCTGAGAGAGAAGTAATAACATGCATCATAATAAAAAGATGAACATAGGGGCAGAAATTCGAAAAAAGGCCACGATGACAATATCAAACAGAGTTGCAGCAATGGGTCTTACAAACCTTACAAGCAGAAATAGCAGCAAATCCTAAACACCCTACACGTTACACCGCCAGGCCCTATTGCAGAAGAAGAACAAGATGCTCGAGGAAGCACTCCAGCTCGCGCTCAAAGCGCAAGAGAAGGCGTGCTTTGCCAGGGTATCTTAGGCAAGGGCTTGGTGCATGCAGTCTGGCATTGAGCTTACTAGCAACCTTGCAGTCGTAAACCATGCCCAAATCAAGGCTTTGCGGCTTTGCTGGTATTGCCCTTACCGCTGTAGTTTTTCTTGATTTTGCCATGGCTTGTTGCAAGCTAGTGGTGAGAAGGAGTCGGGAGATTTCGAGTGTTTACTTGCAGGCTCATGCGAAGCTTCCATGACTCAAGACTTGAAAACACTGCAAAAGACATGCCAAGCAACATGACGCATCACAAAGTGATGGAGCCCAAACGGGTCTTGCAGACGCATGCAGGAGTGCACCAGTAAGTCAATGCACATATACGGATCCCATTCATGACAGCAGTGATCATATGTATCAGCACATGCTGAGGAAGCTTCCTTTCAGGTCGTCCGGGGCCTCAAGTAGATAAACCGCGATCTCAAAGAAGCTGATGTGTCCCAAACCATTCAGACAGCACTTTTTTTCCAGGTGCTTGTATCTCGTGCGTCAAGATCATGCATGGAGTCTGCATAGTTCCTGTTTGCATTCTTAACGATGCATTTGCTGCTGCTGATGCGGAAACGGTATGTTACATTTTTCATGGGTACAAAGAACTTGAACTGTCCACTTCTCTTCAACATGATGCTTGCAAGGAACCATCCCCTTGCAGTTCCCATATGGTAGTTTCCCTAAATAGGGGAACCACAAAATATGTGTATGTACATACCCAAAAATACGATAATCCCTATTATAGGGACCCCAACAAGGTTGGCGCAATTTTGGGAAACCCTAAAACCCTAAACCCTATATGAGCCCTACATGTCCCCTTCTGCAGCCCCTATAAACCTGTGCCCCATGTCATCTCCGCAGGTGGAGAAGCGCCTCCTGGAGCTCCGAGAAAAGACAGAGGCCAGGTCTGGGACTTTTTGCTGGGCTTGCTTTAAGGAATTTAATTTAAGTTACCATATTATGGGTATGTAGGAAATTGTAGGGTTTCCTTCTTATAGTCATGTCAAAAAGGAATTTAATTTCAGTTGCCATATTATGGGGGGTATGTAGTAAATAGTAGGGTTGTTTTATTATAGTTGTTTGCTGGGTTACTTTAAATGACCTTCATTAAGTTATCAGATTGTGAGTATATAGTAATAAAGAGATTTCCTTGTTATAGCAATTTAGAAGAAGTTCCTCAACAGCAAGCCAGCTTTTTGTCAATGACGGCGGTTCAAAGCTTTGAGGTTTATCCATATTCCATGACCTTGCTGTTTCCTGGAGCTGTTCATCCGAGAGTTTCTCAGGGACTCCTGTCAGGGATCCTATCGAAATCCGGCATTCTCTCTGAAGTGTGGGACCTAGGATACAGAAATGGCAGTTGCGAGCCGCAAGGTTCTGATTGTTTAGGATGACCCTGCTTGTTGTCAAAGATCTTTTCTTGGTCTGCCTCTCGAATCAAACTGGCATCTGAGTTGCTAAGGTTGACAGGCACGAAAGCACAGGGACAGAGAAGAGCTATTTAGCTCTGGCTGAAAGTTTACGCAAACCCCAACTGCGAAATATGCACACCGCAGCACCGTATTCAATGAGAGTAGGGGTTTGTTTGGGGTTTATTTGCCGTTTTGGTGCGCTGCTTCCCGGTTTCATATATGGCGATTCTCAAAGTCATGGACTCCAAAAATGAGCCTGTAATATTTGGGCCTGTCTAGGGCGAAGCTCCTGAGAAGCCCATTGTTTATAACATGGATACTAGTTGGGCTGCATTCAATGTTCCATGTGACAAGACCCAAGAGGGACCATTTAGTAGTTTCCATTTTCTTTTCCATTATCCTTATATAACCCCAATATATCCCCGAAATAATCCTTGTACTATGTATATATAACCCCAATAGACTAATGATTTTGAGGAGCATTCCTCTACGAGCTTGGATGGCATTGCAATTTGCTGGCAGGCGCTGCAGACGCAAAATGACTACCTGGCAACGAGTCTTGCCTAGAAGAAGCAAGGGAGCTTCTACAGGTTATTGTTATATTTGACAGCCACCCTGAACTGCCAGGATCTGTACTATGCTTCTATCCGATATACGACAAAAAAAGAAAGCAGTGGAGATCTGCACATTCGCTAGCTCAGATTGAGGACACAAAGCTGCCGATGTCTCAAAATCATCGTCCTGTTTGGAAGGCACAAGGATGCGGCAAGGATCGTTTCTTCAAGGGTTGTTGAAACGACGGACACCCCTGCTTGGGCTTGGAAAGAGAGCTTAGCAGCCCAGTAGGTAACCTTTAACCTTTTTTGGGGGTTCCATATTATTGTAATCCCTATACAAACCTAAAAGGTTGACCTTGAATTTCCTAGGATACTGGACAGGTAAGAGAGACACTTGGGGCGGCCAAGGCGCATCGACGGCAACGAGGAGGACAAAGGTGCCCTGAGGCCAGGAAGCTCTGGAAATGCTTAGGGATAATGGAAAAGAAAATGTAAACTACTACATTATATAGGGATTATATAGTGGATATATTGGGGTTATATAGGGATAATGGAAAAGAAACTGGAAACTACGGGGATTATAGGGGTTATATTGGTGTTATAACTCATGCTTTTTACTCCGCTTCATAAGTGAGAGTTTTGTAAAAGAGCTGTTTAATCCGGATTTAGGACTTTGAAAAATCTCGTGAACCTCCAGATGTCACGGGATCGCTTAAGAATATATGGAGTCAGCTGAACTGTTGTTTTCAAAAGCGCTGGCAGAACTGAAGCGACTTTCATTGCTAGCAAGCTCGCAAGCATCCGTTGTCTTCCTATGTGCTCGTGCTCATGCGTGCTCGAGCTTCTGAAGGGGACAAGGCTACAAGGCCATTCATCATGAAACGTCGTGATTGTTCCGTAAATGATGGACTAGAGCCCTACGTTTTGCACTGGCATTCGTTTCCATTTCCCAACCGAGCAGCATCCCGACTTGTCAAGGGATCTAGACGAAGGATCCATCAAAGAACCGAACACCTTTCACCAGCAAAGGCAGAGCTTCCACGTCAAGAGTCAGACTTTGTATATCCAATCTTATGCCCCGAACATGCAGGCATATCAATCCCTCCAAAAACCTGAAGCAACTACTTGCACGAATGTTGGTATCGTCTGGAACCCTAAACCACACAACATATAGAGAGGGTCTTGGACCAACGCCTCTTATACAACCATAATGATAAATGCCAACATACTTGTGAACATGACAACTGGCTTTCCTACAACCATCTTGGGTCACAAGTGTTCTAAGTGCCTATGCCCGTTACTACCATTCTGATTCTGATAAAGGGCTCTCTGTCCGTGACGGTGACGAGAGGTACGACCTCCGAAGAACCGAAGATGAGCTCCGCCAGGCAGATGACACCGCTTCGTTTTCGGTTTCTGTGCAAGTCTAGACGCTTAGAAAAGGTTTCTGACATTTGTTTAGAAGGCTTGCACTCACAGGATATGGCCATGCAGGATTGCTTACGGGGCTGTATGAGATAAATCGAAATCCTAAGAGGATGGTTTTGCGTAAACAAGAGACCCGAAGCATTGTGTTTGACATCATTCCGACATAGATGTGCCAAGGATCCTTGTAAGCCACGCTGAAATCCGATTCTTGCCCGGCCCTAAGCCCGAAACACTAAACGCCAAGCCCTGAACTCAAGGCGCTAAGTCCAAAGCCTAGACCCTAAACCCTTGCCACACCTCAGCGGGTTTTGAAAGGGAGTGCGGATGCCCTTGCCCCAATGAACATGGGATCCCGAAGGATGCCCTAGACTGGCGCTGAAAGGAGTTCGCACAAGGTTTCAGATAAGTTTGGAGAAGGTTTGTGTTGAGAAGTTTGCGTGATCAAGCGAGCTGCCTATGGAATCTAGAGTAGGTCCGCCCTGTTTAGGCCACAGCTGTCAACGGCCAGCTGCTTCAGAAGAGCCACGCGGACAGCAAGAGTTTGCGGTTTAGAGCTCCCTACAACGATTTTTGGAGTAGCGTTGATTAGGCTCCGTGGAATGTTGGCTTGAAGCTCAAAAACCTCTGGCTTGCGAAAAGCCAGCAATGCCTCACTACTGAAAGGCGCTAGGCGAACCTCTCGTGGTTCTGCCCTGTCCTTAAAGTTTCATCTGAGAATGAAAAAGAGGTGCCTTGAACCCAGCATTTTGTTGGAAAAGATAACACAGCTGCCTGCCAATATGCCACTTCTGTCCCGTGAGCGTTCCGGGGCTAACATGCAGTGAGCTTAGGAGTCGAAGTCGAAGACCGATTTAACGACGTCGAGGCTGAGAAGGTACCTGGGACTTCAAAGAAGATCTGAGTCTTCCTGTATATTCCATAGGAAGTATCAGCCATGGTAGAAGCACCCTTGGATGGGACTTCTGATCTTGAGCAACTCCAGGTAGGCTTTCAATCGAGACCCAGGGAGACTACTGCAAGTTGCCTTCGGTGAGGATATTCTTTTCGGTTTGCTTTTCGAGGTAAGATGAGATGCACACTCAGGGAATAGAGTCTTGCCTGACTACAGAAGAACAGAAGACACAGATAAGGTGGCTGTCAAAGCTGAGCTGGATTACATCAAGCGAGAGGACCACTCTGCATCAGAGTAGTGCTGTGGCCCGACCGCTTCTTGTTGGACATTCGTTTTGATAAGAGAACCAACCTCGATTTTTGCCTGGCTTCGCTGTGTCGTACTGGAAGTTCATGACCCTCATAGACGTAGATTGTTGCGTTGTCCGCCACCATCGTCCTGCCTAAAACATGCTCGACACATGACCGCTTTTGGGGGAGGCATCTCCAGCAAGTCGAAGTTGTAAAATAGCCTGCCCTGAAAGGATGACAGTTTTCATTGGCAGAAGAAGTCATTCCTCTAGCTGCCTTGTCCTAGACATGCTAGGTTGTACTGTCTGTGCTTCATTGTACATCAGCGGTATAAAAACCATTTACTTATTCTTAATGACCCACACTACTGCTCATGTCGTGCTTCAGCATTCTGGCCTCTTCATCGCGGCACACTTTGTCCAGGACATGTTGGATGAGACCGGCAGGACGAAGCCGATCCTCATTGAGTCTGAGTCGAAGCAGCTCACCTGACAGAGACGTCTTGCAATACAACTTGTGGTAGAGCACATTAGTGACGGATACTCGGACATTAATTCCATCGTGTCATCTAGTTGGCTAGAAGTAGCTAGGTTGCAAGGAGGCTGCTTCTCCTAACTGAAGCAAGACCGGCTTTCTTGTTGTCCCAGCGAGGAATGCTGAGGGATCCATCCCAACACGACGCTGCTCAGGCTCATCGAGCGACTTCAGATCAACGAGTTCCTCTACAGCGCTCAGCAGGCTAAAATGTTTGATATAGCTGGAGATTCATCATTGCCTCCACCTCAAGTCAGAGCTAGGATGGGTTTTTCTCTCCACATCATGCAAATTCTCATGACCCTTCTAGCTGCCTGTAATTTGGCGCAGGCTCGAAATCCAGTGCCTATGCTCGTGGAGAAGATCACGCATCTTGGTCACAAGCCAGGTCTATTAGGAGCTTCGTTGTACCCTGCATGCACACCTGGACCTAGCACAGCCACCTGCGTAACCTGTGGCCTATGTGCAGGGTACGTCATTCTAGGCATCTTCTGTTGAAGTCAAACGGATCAGCACTGAACACTTTGCGCAAGTTGTGCTAAAGCCGGCAGAAACACACTCGCCGCGTTAACGTAGATGCTTGGTCCTATCTGATGTGAAGCATTCAGAGCATGTGGCCATCATTTCCGTGGTACTTAGGCATTTGCTGGAGATGCTGCACACAACGCAAGTGCAGTCAGACATGTATCTCCAGGACGACCAGTGAGATGTGCTATCTAGGGGTGCACCAAAACCCCATGGTAGTGGAGTTTCATAATAGTGCTACTAACCTTGACAGTCTGATTGAATTCAGACGAAACTAGATGAAAAATATAGACTGACATGACGATAGTTATCCTTCTCAAGCCTGCCGCCGGAAGCATGTTGTGCCTCTGATGTCTTCTTCAGTGCCCATGGTGAACCAGGACCTGCAAAGATCGAACTCCATGCTCCAGGCGCACATTGCAGCAAGTCCCACGCTCTCAGATACACTGTACAAGGAGTCATGGCACAGAACAGCCTCACAAATGGCAAGGACAGGAAAGTAGAAGAGTTATGAAGGACAGGGTAACTGCCGGCCATAGCATCAACAATACAAAGCATAGCCACATGATGGTGGCTTTTGCTGGTTACTCGCTGAATTTGTGCAGGGTCTTCGCGAGAAGAACAAGAACCTTTACGAGAAGGTTCAGATGTGCGAGACCTGGAAGGCAGCAACGTCCCAATCTGCTTGGCCTGTTAGAGCTGCTGAACATTCATGGGTGGGGCTTTGATGACAAGTGCACTTCGGCACGATTGTCCTGGCCACTCTAGCAGCATGGGCGTTTGAAGGGTTATGTGATGCGATGATCCTCCCTTCCTTTCTCGCCAGATGCGTGCTCTCCTGAAGATCGCCTCAAACGAGTTCGAGATGAGGCGCGTGCTTTTGCAAAAGCCACGTAGATTTCAACGACGAATTTGCGGCCCCAGCACATGCGACCTCCACGTGCACTGTGAAGAATTGTGCACAACCTGCACAGGCCTTCAGTCAGCATCCACACAAACCACCTTCTTGGAGAATTGTTGGTTCCCAGTGGTGTCAAGGTCATTTCTGACCTTGTTACTTCCCCCTTGCGTTCACTCCTTGTGCCGCGTAGTACGGCAAAAACCGTGCCAGAACCAAGCCTTTTTCAGAACCTCCGCAGCAACAAAGCGACAACAGCAGGAGCTCTGTGAAGGGGCACAAGTCCAGCATCAAGGAGGGCAATGCCTTGCACCTCGGCCTGCACAGAAGTGGCTAGGTTCAGGGTTTACTTTTTGAGCATTTTCAATTTGTGGATGGCAGATGTCCTGGATCTTGGAACTGAATCATAGTTGTCGCTACCACAGTTAAAAGCAATCAGGAATAGAACAGGTACTTTTGAAGATGTCCAAAACAATAACAGCTCAAAAGGGTGGAAAGCAATATTGCTCCGTAGGTGCACATGCTGAATATGTGACGACTTCAGCATGTTCGACACAATTCTGTTTCAAGGCGATTCAGCTTTCATTTGCGCACGTCATGACGTCGCCAGGCGTACATGTTGTTTTCCTTTACAATTGGCAGGAAATCGGGGGCACCAGGCCCATGCAGCGGCTGCGAGATCAAAAGTCTGCCTAAGGTACTTGGATGGCCTGCAGTACTCCAACAAGGATACCGGACATGTGCTTCCTGCAAGATGCGCACACAAGTAAACATGAGGCTTACTTATCCTTCCACGCCTCAATTGCTGCTACGCCAACCCTCTTATGATCAGTGTTCTTGCCATGAGAATGACGAGAATGACTCTGTCAGAATTCACAATCAGGAGCATGCGAACGACAAGACTTAGTAGGCAGAGCAAGAATGACAATACGAGTAAGACTGAAGTATTTAAGCAGCAGGCAGGAAGATTGTCGAAGCAGTTCGTAACCTCGAGTAGTTTACGGGGGCCTCCAAGATAGTTTTCAATTTGTGGGTATTATCATCCTAAGAACAACCAAAAATGATAGTTCTTAGTGGGGTTCTGAGGCCGGTGCAGTAGTGGCAGTAAGCAAAGATGGGTCCAGGAGATTGGTGAGCTGAAGAAGCTCATCCAGAACTACATGAAGGAAGAGAATGCCGGGATGCCTAGTGTTTACTGTTCAGAGCTTAGGGTGAGGAGTCTCCCGAAATTGTTTCTATGCAAGGCATAACACTGTTCATGGATGAAACCTTGCACCACCTTGAAGCCCTAAACTATTGTAACTCCTAGGACTTTAGGGACTTAAGGTGGTGCAAGGTTTCCTCCATCAACAGTATAGGGGCTCCATCTAATGTTCTCGTAATCCTCATGCTCAGGGGTTACCCCTGATATTTGAAGCACCCACTTCTTCAATCAACCTTTGCTACCCCGCCAAGGTTTTGCAAAAGGGATTTGGTGGTCATCTGGACCGAGTCCGAATGCTGATGAGAACCTGGAAATCAGCCTGAACAGTTTCTGGAGGGATTGCAGATGTTCACAACTGCACACAAAGCAGCTTTAGAATTTAGTCTACGCTTGACTTCACAGCTGTTCCCAAATTGCCACGGATTTTCTCATTATGGTTCTGGCTGCTGCGAGCAGGATGGCGGCTTTAAGCCCTGCCACTGGGGATGGTCTGTCTTGTCTGCGTGCTCATTCTATACCATTTCCCGTTGTCATTAGGGTCATTCTTCTCAAGTCTGCTGATGCGCATTCCTGAAGCAGAACCCCAAACCCTAACCCACTCATTACCGTGATTGTCCTTATTCATTTGTTCTGTCTCAATGTTTGGCGGTGGGCTCAGGTCAAGGAGATCCGGCTGCAGGCATCGCAGTCCAGTGGGGCAATCATGTCGTTGTCTGGTTCCGGGGTGGTTTGGAAGGTCCTCTGGGACAAGTCCCAGCTTTTTTGGGATTCCCGGGATGTAGGGATGACCCCTCTTCTCAAAAGTTACGACTGCAAACTAGGTCACCAGCCGATTTTGCTTTTTCAGATTTTGAGTTTGAGATGAGCCACCTAGTGATCGGTCTGAAGGTTCTCTACTGCAACTAGACTCCTTAATCACAGGGCATACGTTCTTAACGGCAGCACTGGTGGCTACACACTGTGTTTTTACATTGATGACAAAGTGATAATGTATAGCAGCGCTTGATCGCCTACTGCATGGTTCCAGTCCCACCGCAAAATTCTCCTGGAGCATCAAAGGATGTTATGGCCCATCGAGGGATATTGAGAGATGCGAGTTGGGGATGGGTCAGAGCGTGGGGTTCTGGGTGAGCGCCCCTGGCATTCGCCGGCAGAGTGATTGGTCGACTTGTTTGAATTAAGGGTTTGGGGTTTCAAGAGTCGAGAATCTGACGACACAACCATGCCCAGCTCGACGAACGGAAGCCAAAAAGATTCCGAGATGCCGCCTTTTGAGACTGGGGCAGTGCAGAATAGTTCCCAGAGTTAGTAACCTTAAAATGCCTCCAAAACATGTTCAGCAGAGCAGTAAGATTGGTCGCTAGATGGGACTTGGGTCCCACGCACAGGACAATAACCTTGACAAGACTGCCGTGCCCCTCATATGTGAGCTGCCCTTCCGGCCAGATTACCGTGGCTGCCTGCTTTACTCCTTGGGATTTAGCTTGGACCTCACACCCTTAACCCTTGGAAATTTCCCGATGTCCTATTATAGGTACCTAAGGGCCTACTGTATGAGGGGCTTTTCTAGGTGACCTAAAGGCAAGTAAGGCCCTCCAAGTTGCTCCTGCTGGATTTTTGCGTTTTGATGTTCAGAAAACAAGGCTCAGGGCGGCATAATTCTTTCCGAGCTATGAGTGAGAGGAGCTAATGACAATGATAGACATACTAGTGGTAGATGACCACTAGTATTGAGTTTCTATGAATATGAAGAACAATAGCTTGTGACAAGCTGCTTGTCTTTTAGTTGGACTTGGGCTTTGTTGCATCTAGTGGCTTTTCAGGATTTTGTTCCGCTAAACTGCATGTTAGCTGAGATCCGGACAATTGTGAGGATCCATAAGGTGCCTTACGTCTTGAGGGATACATTTAGTTGTTGTGCATGGGTGAATGTTTAACAGCAGGCGAATTTGACTAGATGCTGTTGTAAGATCTCGTTCCTCATCAAATTTCTTGGGTCCACAGAGAAGCTGACAAGGAACCAATGTTTGAGACGTAAAAGGTAAGCTAGATCCCAAATAATTCCTAGATCCCTGGGGGCAGGCTTACTTTAAAGCCTTCAAAACCTCTAAGTTGCACTTATCATTGTTTTGCCAGGTTGGACCTGTGCCCATACCTCACGAAGCTGGACATGCGGAGGCTGCAGCCATTCTAGGAGTTTATACTTGGAGGGTCAGGGGAACTTAGTACGCAGGTTAACCATTATTAACCTACTTACTAGGCCCCGCTGACCCTCCGAGTACACATATATGATCTGTGCGTTTCTCAAGACAGATGGGCAAGGGATGTAGAGGGATGACACACAGGGATTATGAGGTTTCATGGTAAGGATGCCATACAGGTAAATTGGGGAAATTACTATCTTATCATAAACTTGAGTTTATATACACTTGGGTCCAAGCACAACTTCGATTGTTCGGTAAGGGCTCAGCCTGAAGCCCGAGAGGCCCAGGTGATGTCATCTTACATAAACGGGAGGCTCCTAGAAGTTATAAGACAATTATTCCTGAAGGTCTATTCCTGAGTTATTCCTGAAGATCATGTCCTGAAGTTGGGCTCAGCACAAACATAGGGAACATGAGAAATTCTGTGTTGACTCCATGAGCACAAACTATAGCCGGTTGACATTCATGCATAGGTTTAGTTTCGAAACAGAAGGACCAAGAGGATTCATTGTCTGCAGGAAAATCTTGTAGCGCGAAGTTTCTGAGCACAATCGCCATTACATCTGCTGTTAACATGACGGTTACTATCTATGTGTTGTCAGTAAACAGAACCAGTACCGAAGGTATCATTAAAGACAGGAATATGGGAGCTTCTGACAAAACCTATCCATAATAAAAAACCCAGAATCCCTTCATAGTCCCTATACAAACCTCTCGGGTCCGCAGGGGCCCCCCCATTTTGAGAAGCTCCCGTACCCATACGTCCATGTCCTTCCAGAAGCACCGCAAGGGCTAGAAAGACCGGGCTTCCTTGCCAGGAACAGGCTCGACAACGATGCCCTTGCAGACATCCAGGCTGGGTGTGGTTGGCTCTAGCTTCAGGGTGCAGACCTCAATTTAGAGGACATGGGCCTGGACTTTACAGACCGCTCAAAAATGCACGTGCTTAGAGGCTTAGAAGTCATCACACTCGCAAGTGGAAAGAAAGTGCTCAGGCTAATAGTTCTTGCAGGCCATGCCCCTCCTGGCCCCTCCTGCATCAAACTTTCAACATGCTGAAGGCGGCAGCCCTACAGCCCAGAGCATCGTTGCTTATATCCTCTGACGCCAGGGCTTCGTGGAACGCATTCCTGGCGTCACCACGCTGGTGAAGGACAGGGACATTGCACTGTTGCTACAGCATCGCAACGGCAGTAGGACTTGATCAATGGCTGGTCATAAAGACACCCCAAACTTGATTCTGCCTTACAGTCCAAGGAGGTAGACAGCACGGTCTGTACGGCCATCACAGCCTTGAATTGCAAGGGAAGCGAAATAGAAGCTGTGGTGGCATCTTTTGGCGTCTCAGACTGATCCGCCAGTTTTTTCAGGGTTAGATGCAGAAGCTGGACTTTGAATACTGATGTGCTCGTTGCCGCCATGCACTGCAGGACCCGGTGACGGGTGACCTGCGAGCGCGATCCGGCAATCAGGCTCAGCTTGAGTGCCTTCTTGGGTTCCTGCAGCAGTGATTGGACTGAATGACCTCGAGATCTTAGAACAGCAATTGTTTTCGCTAGTATTACGGTCTTGTTATGAGAGTATTGTTGCCAATACACAGATATCGTACGAGCCTCTTGCTTCCTTTTGTGAAGAGTAATCTTGGTTCTTATAGTTGATCCCATTTCCAAGGAGTTGGGGGTGAAAAGCTCGCTGTGATCGGGGAATCGTGATTGCCGTGTGCAAAGGCACACTACTCTAGCGGAGTCGGCCCTTGATATCAAGCAAATAGGACCTTGAGAATTCAGTTTAGACCTAGGCCACGACAGCACCTGGAAAAGAAGGAATCACAATCAGAGCTCCCTGGCAGAATCCTGATTTAAGCGCGCATGCAAAAAATCACCCAACTGAGGAGATTCCCTTTGCTTATTTCTCCTTGTCCAACAAAGCCTTCGTTCCTAGCAGGTGCGGCTGGTGATTCTCTTGGAGGACCAGAGCCCGCCTGACCCGGACATGCCAGCGTGAGCACCTGAGATAGGCTCTTTATGTAGGTCTTTGCGAGTGGACAGGAAGGAATATTAGTGAGTGTACACATTTGGTGTCCAATTTGGGGACCATATGATGCCAGACCTCCCACATATGATGCCGGAGCTCCCAACGGACGGAAAAGAAAATTGCCTAGGATGCTATGAGGTTGTGATGGGAACTCCAAACGAAGTTTTATCAGTTTGTACAGGGGAGGTCCTTTCAACGGATCTACGGACGGGGTCATACAGTTTGGATGGAGACAGTAACTTTCTAGCGGGTAGGGACATAAGGGTAGGGGCAAGGGACTCATGAACCTGGAAATTTGAAGAAATTGTGGGGAGCTTCTCTCTCCCGTGGCATGTCATTCTGGGCAACAACCTGGGAAACAACGGGTCCAGGCTTGGCGTTGTCGCAATGGTCATGCTAGTTGCTGTGACCATGGTCACCAGTAGCTCGAATGGCATCATCAATTCCCCGATATGCTTTTCCGACACGAAAGATTTAGATGGCAGTCCTCTTGGTGAGAGGAGGTCCTCTTGCAGGAGCTTTTGCAACCTTGAACCCTTGGCTGTTGCTGAGGCCAAAGGGAACCTTGCAAAGCCTCTGAATAGCCACGCTTTTTGACATGGGCTCCTTGCTCTCATGTGGGAGCTGCTCAAAACTGTAATGGCAATATACAGATTGCTTTATGTAGGTCCCTGAGAAGGGATCTTGTTATTGTTGTGGTTTGCAGCGTGCCCCAAAAATTACAAGAAGCCAATGACTCTTGCCTCACAAAACGCAACCCATATGTGCCCAGCCGGGCTTTGTTGCTCGACCCCCAGTGATTGTGTGCTGAGGCCTGCGGATGACCTCACAGAGGACCAAGCAGGTTGGATCCTTGAGTGAAAAATTCGGAAATTCACGGATTCTCGTTGGACGTGAGGAATTGATTTGTGTAATGATTTCGTCTGTGTATACTAACTGGTGAAGACTCCATCTAGCTTTTTGTGGTGGTACAACACTTGTTTCATGTCAAGAGTCACAAGCTTCATAGGTACAAAACGTTGGATCCCTCTGGGGAGTCCTCACATGAATCATCAGAGCACTTGATTGGCATTTAGACATCAGCAGCGCGCAATCTCTGCCGAATCACATGTGTAAACTGCATAGCTGTCATCATCAAGTGTGTAAATTGTATAACCGTCACAACCCCATGTGTAACAAAAATTGCATGCTTCCCGCAGAGCATTCTAAACCCCTAATCAGGATATAATCACAATTGCTACATTTACGAACCCCCAAAGTACAATTTGCCTCCAGGCCCAGCAGTCCTACTCTATGTTCCCCATGACATAGTATATGCGATTTAGGGCTTGCCGTCCCATGGCTTCATGTAGGTAACGTTTTTACGCTTTGGGACCCAATGTAGGTATCATTTGTATACTTGGATCCCTAGGATAAACCCGAAAACCCCAAAATCAATGAATAGTCTGTATAGTTACCACACTTACCAGCAGGCCTCGCAGCAGACGGCTTCCTGGCCTCAGCTGCGGGCGTGCCTCAGAGAAATCTAACAAGCCACGTTTCGGATTGCAGATTTAAAGATTCAGAATTTGGGGGAGTTTAGGGTCAAGCTTAGCAAGAGTTAAGGAGTTTGGGGCTTGAAGAGCTAAGGTTAAGGGTCTTCAGGGTTAGGGTTCTGTGGGTTTTGGTGTCAGAGTTTAGGCATTATCAGGCATCTGCCAATATGATCTCTCATAAGAAAAGTTTCAAAAAAAGTGAGCATGCAAGGTCCGGAGGTGATTTTTCGTTTCTCAAGACTGGAGACTGTTGTAGGCCTTTTAGGGATATATGAGGGTTCCAAAATGATGGTGCATGGCCATCTTCGGTATTTGTGATTTGGATATTTTTCATATCCATTGCAGGATGTAATGTAGACCCATGATTAATAAACCCCCTCCTTTTAAAGGCCTTAATATTAGGATCCCTATTTTTATACCTATTAAGGGGAGGGGGTTTATTAATCAGGGGTCTACATTATGCACAAAGAACCTGAAAAGGAACTCGATCATGGGTACTGGCAGGTTCTTTGGGCAGACCTTGAGAAGAGCGCACAGCTTCACGACGTTTAGATACTGGCCCCCGAGAATCACCTGAATCCCCGTATGCCCCCAGCAAGGACCCTCGAGGTTACCCCTGTTGCAGGGAAGCCCTATTCGGCTGTCTGCTTGAAAGCAACCTCCTCCAGAGAGCCTGATACCCTTGAATAATGGAATATTCCCTCAACCATGGTAGGAACTTCAAGGTTTAGGATTAGAGGGCCTCTTCAAGACTGAATCCTTCAAAACCTACCTGGAATCCTGAGCTGTTCTCAAACCTTAGACCCTGAAAACCAAAGGTTACTTCGCAAGGGCGGCTCCAGGGCCCGGATGGGTCGGCAGCTCAAACTTTAACGTGCGGAATCATCATGCAGTTCTGGGTTTAAGGGCTACCCCTAGATCCAATTATGGGGCTACAGAAACACAATTAGTGCGTAGGGCTTAAGATTTCTCATAACAGGGGCACTCTAAGACCACTCGGGATATCTTGGAAATAAATTGAGAGCATAACAGGGGATATCAATGATTTCTGAGGGCTATCTTGACAAACGCCCACATCGGCAATTTAGAGGGCGAAGCACCTGCCCGTGTCAATGTTTGTGGCCCAAGTCATTGTTTGTGGGGGGTGTCTATTCGTACTGAACCGACCGAAGGGATTGACAATACTATACATTTCTGAAACGTGTAAAATTGAATACGACGACTTAAATGGCTCATGACATCAGTGCTTCTGCGGCTTCTACCATTTTTGCCTCGTGCATTACCCCGAGCATTTCGGTTCAAGCATTAAGGATCCGCCAGTTCTTGCGTTTCTGTGCTGCAGACAGCTGTGAATAACGCCAAGACATGCAAAATGTCAAAGCTGGAGGTACCCTCTATGGTAAAACACGAACCAAAAGTCTTTCGGGCAGGACCGCGGGCAGCACAACCCGCACCATGACTGTCCAACAGAGACCAGGCCTGCTTGTGTCGTTTGGGGTTTATGGCTTAGAGTGGGGATCTATAACTGCATTTACACGGTATTTTGTGGACAGGACAAGTAGCGCAATTCGTGTATAGCAGGGTCTTAGGCAGTCCTTGTTTTTTCTGGAGGAAAGCTTACAGAAGGCCACTGCGTGGCCTGGCGGTGTAAGATTGTGCTTGTCGGGAAGTGTTTGGCATCATCGCTGTATTGCATGTATGTGTTCATGACTGTACGATACGAAATATATTCACGGTTGTGAGTATTCATCGCTTCAGTAGAAGTGGGGATGGGGAAATCTTGCAGAACCTTATATAGCCTATACCCAGAATTACTGTATTTTGGGTGTCTTAAGATTCCTTCCATCCACCGTAGGACTATGCTGCTCGGTGATGGCTGCATCATTCACCGCAGTCTCCACAAGAAAAGCTTAGGGCACGTGAATTTGTATAGTTCTTGAGCAGGTAACAAAGAGGCTGAAGAGGGTTTTCAGGAGCGCCCCGGATTTTCATAACGACTCAGGATTGTCGTAATGCAGCACCCTGGGCCTTTGCACCGCAAGCTCAATTCTCGGACACCTGCCAGGCGGCGCTGGAAAGCCGATGGGCGATGTCCAACGCCCAGTGTTGAACTCACGGATTCCAGGTTGAAGGCTTCTTGAACGATTGGTATGATGGGGAATAGAATGACATAAAGACATTAGTTCATGATGTTGAAATGGAAGGCCTTCTTCATGGTGTTTTGAAGGAGAGAAAACTGGTAGATGACAGGCCGTCGTTCATGCCATGTCAAAGTCTGGGTTGGCCATCTGTGGCCGTTAAAAGAATGTCCCACAATCCTGAACTCTCAACCCCAGAGCGAGGTTCTGACTGATAAGATAAGAAGAAAGGACCCGGATCAACCATTCTAGGCTTCCTGATCTTAAACTGTAAACCCTGATCCCGAACACAATGGTTCCTGGACCTTGACCCTACCCCGGTTCCATGAAACCCAAATTCTTCGAACAAACCCCGCTTCAGAAACAAAAAATCCCCGCTTCAGATACCAAAACCCCAGCATCAGAAGCAATAAATCCCGCTTCAGAAATTAAAGATCTCCGATGCAGAACTAAAAATCCCCGATGCGAATATTAAGATACTCGATTCAGAATCCGAGGGCTTTTAGGTTCGGAATCAGGGCGTGACCTTTGACCTTCCATGCTAGTTAGGAGGAGTGTAATCGCCCAATAGACTTAGCCTTTCATGTCTCCCTACTTAAATTGAGTTTCTATACATCCCCAAGCCCTTGAACCTGACCCTGCCGAGGGTTCGCTTCCGCCACTGTGAGGCACGGAGTGGTTTTTTCACATGGCTTCATGCTTGCAAGGTCCCTCACAGTGCCTTTGTAAACTCCCCAAAGGTCCCCTACACCCCGCGAAATCTTGTTTTTTGGCCAGGCCCTTGCAAGGCTTTCTGCAAATCAAAAAAAAGATCCAAGTGACCTAGAGAAATATGCGCGTCATAGTAGAATTCCACTGGCTCCTGTTGAGGATCACCAAGAGATTGCGTTGAGGAATTCCCCGGCTGTTGGCAGGGGAGCCCTTACGGGATCAGAGTTGACTTTTTTGATCAAAGTTTCTGGGATTGGGGCTTCACGCTTCAGGCTTGGCAAGTCATGTAGGCATTCAGGGCATAGTCATTGGCTTAGGATTTAGGGTTTTGCAAGTTCAGGGTTTGAGGTTAAGGGCTGAGGACAGCATGTGCACTTGGGCCGACCCCTGTTCAGAGAAACTTCTCCATGGCAATTCGAGCTCTTTAAGGCTAGGAAGTCACCAGGATGCTTCCAAAACTCAAGGGGTGAGTTGGGTAGTCTTTGTCAACATCAGGTTCGTTGCCGACATTCGAAACGCTTCCTGGCAACAAGGTAGGCAGATTTTGCATATGCTGGGTGAGGTGAGGACTTAATGAAGAAG